TACCAGTCTGCAGATGCTGCTGTGTCAATGACCTACAGGAAGCTGTGTACAGAGATATGGTGGTGATGGAAACCATTATCTTATCTTGAATGTGAACAAAAACATAGGAGATAGCTGTAGCTTTGAGGAGAAACGGGAATAGATCAAACACGATTTCCATGATGGGAAATCAAGTGGAGGTAGCAACAGAGTGTAAGTTCAGTAGAGAGTGCTTATCTAGACAGAAAACTGACAACAGCTGCAACAGTGAAGCTGTTTACAAGTAGGGATAGGGCAGACTGCAGTTTCTGAGGAAGTTTAGGTTGTTCAGTTTTTACAGAAAGACATTGTAAATCTTCTGGAACTATGTCATGCAGAGAGTAATCTGAACCTCTGAAGCTGATAGTGCAAAGAAGAATACTGTGGGGAACCACAAAGCTTAGTGGTGGAGCAGGAGCTCCATGCAGAGGAGCATCTGTCCTTAATGCAGTTGTCCCCAGTTTGATTCCTATCCCTGGGAATTGCTGCTTGTCTTTCCCTTCTCTCTGTGCCCTTCCTCCTGTCCAGCTACTGTTGAATACAGGCCTCTAGTTCCGTGCAGTTAAAAAAAAATTTTTTTTTAAAGATGCTTTATAAAATGAAGCATATAACAGACAACTAAGCATCCTCATCAAACGGTAGCTATACTGACAGAGAAAATTTTCAGTCAGAGATATTTACGGATTTTGTAAGGATTTGGGTTATTTTGTGTTTATTTATTTAGGTTTCTGTGTTCTGTTGAGACATTAAATGTTGAAAACCTTGTCTTTGAAGGTTTACTGATAGGGTATTATATTGCACTAATTATTTTAACCTTCATTGTACTTCATAAATTCTGTTCACTCTCTTGTCTGCTTACATTAAATGATGACTTTTTATCAGAAATGTTTACCTACAGGACAATATACCAGGAAGTTTAGTGTGGTTAATGAGCTATTCCTGCCATTAATTTATCTATTATGGTCCCTGTGTATTGACAAATCAAGTCAATTATCTTGCCACCTATGAATTCTTTTGAGGTATGATCATTTTTAATTTTGAGTTTATATGAAAACTCTACCATGATTTACTTAAAGGAGATAATAAAGCTGAAATTGCGAATATAAACATATTTGCACATGGGATAAGGAAGTGTGGAACGGTTGTATGTCTGATGAAAAAAAATTAAAATTTGTGGCGACTGTGGTTGTGTGGCAGAGTTGTCGTCTTGCAATCGGAAGGTTGTAGGTTTGATTCCAGCTTCCTCCTGCCACATGTCGATGTGCCTCTGGGCAAGGCACTTAACCCCAAATTGCCTACCGGTGTGCGAATGGGTGAATGTGGCTCTAGTGTAAAGCGCTTTGAGTGGTCAAAATGACTGGAAAAAGCGCTATATAAGTTCAGTCCATTTGCATTTTTAAACTACTTACTGTACAATCATGACATCCGTCTTTTTGCAAGTGTTGTGTCCTCTTTATTGAACAACTTTAGGAACAACTTTTTTTTTTTTAGAGTTTTTTAATCATCTAGCCTATCCAATAATAATGGTAAAAATGTTTGTACCAGACTAACTTGGTAGGCTCCATACTTACATTATTTCTTTTGCACAATATTTCCCCCAGTAAAAGACAAGGACAATAAAAAGATTGCAGTTTAACCTCAATGTTCAGAAAACATCTAACACCAAAATAATGAAAGTTGCTTGGTCAGAATTCACCAATCTATATTTTTATTAGTCAAAAACAAGATAATGCATTTGAACAAATGTGTTGTGGGAAAAAAGGGCAAAAATGTGTTTGAATTTATGTTTCTTTTTATTATTATTCCTACTGTGTCTTTTGTAAGTTGTCACAAAAGCACCATAATACCATTAATGCTTTTGTTAGAAGAACAAAATAAACAGTTGAGAACAAGCAATGAATGAACAGTCGACTCAACAAGCACAAATCTTCACATTAATTGTAACAATTTATAACAAAAGGGCTTCCTTTCTCAATGTCAATTCCCCACAAGGTGACAGAGGGTCCACAATGTGAGCAATGCCACTTTAACCACACACCTTTCAAACTTGATAACCAAAAAAAGCTTGTTCTGTAACCACTTGAGCGAAGAGACAGCAACATCAATAACATTCTTCAAACACAACGTACCAGCGGCGGAGACAGCTGAGGCTATTAAAAGCAAACAGAGCTAAAATTAGAATGAGTCATATGTTCCTCTGCTGTCTTGTTTGAAGTGATAAAGCTCAGTTTTACTCCGTGTGGTGTAATATGATTACTGAGACCTCAGCCTCTGAGAAAACAATAAGAAGACACATCTGAACAAACAGTGTATTTATTTTGCAATAGTTATCAAAAAACCTGGTGCAATCATACATTATGATTAATGAAGTGTATGGCAAATATAATATGCAACAGTCAGCAGGTTATCAGTATTGAACATACAGTAAGGGCTTTAAAGGTTGTAGTGATTCAAGCATTGGTTTATTAAAGCTAAACATTCATATCTGCTTTATGCAGGCTGTAATTAGATCCACATATCCTGCAATAATCAGAAGAAGAGCTTATTAAGAGATGATTGAAGCTGAATGAGTAATCATCACTTTACAATGATTACTTAGATTCATTTCAACATAAGATAGTCATGGAAATGTTATGATTAGCTGCTTCAGTCATAATTACATGGTTAAGTGTCCAAGAGACAGTTGACCTATTTTCACACATCAGAGCATGAAGTATATATTTGCGTCTAAAGCAGTTAGATGATACTTTAGCTAAGTCTATGCAATTTTGATTTAAGATTGGTAGCGAAACAGGCTGATTTTCTTGATCTGTCTTAGACTTGTGATGCATCTGTGTGCATTTTCTTCCCAAAACCACTGGGGTGCAGTGCTCACCCAGTACAAGAAGCAAGAGTTAACCTTTAAGACGTTTTTTTTTAATTGTTTTTATTTTATTTTTTCTTCTACATATTCCTTTTCTTTTATCTCTCAAGAATTTAAATTAAAGCATTTCCTTTTAGCTAATCAAACGATCACATGACGTCAAAGAGCGGAGAAGACCGAAGAGATCTGAATCACCTACTAAAGATTCAACACATGGCCATGATGATGCCTGTGCAGAGGAAAGGCACATCTGACTTCTGATGAATGCGATAGACGGAGGAAAATAAATTAAAAAAAGCCAAGTTAACATGAGTTTTAATCAGAGTTTTGGTCTTATATAACTTCACACCTCTGCCCACAACTTTGGGGAAACACTATAGTCTAATTTTGCGATAGCAACTCAAAGATGTGGAGTTCAATGGGGAAGCTTGGTGTTATCCTGCCTGATCCATTCTAACACTAGATTTATGTGTCGGTCTCTTTTGTATATTGGACAAAAGAAATGAACTACATGACCTAAACTGTCACCCACAGAAGAAATAGATTTTCAGTTTAATAGTGTTCAAAAACCACCCAGACTTAAGCCACCATGACTGGAAGCAGCTTGAATACTGGTGTCACTGTCCACAGTGTCACCAGACAGGGAGCTGAAAAAGGAGATTGAAACTTTTCCACAAATTCAACACCTTCAAATTATATTTGCTGCATTTGTTGCACAAACAAATAAATTAAATCAAATGTCCAGCTTTGGTAAAGATTGTGCAGTTGATGTTTTGACGCCAATGAAAAGCATCTAATTGCACTGCAACTTGCTAAAATTCATGCATTTAAATATTACTGGAGGTTTATGTATGTTTTTGAGCCTGTGTGGAATAAAGAAAACACACAATAGATTGAAACTTGTTTAATAGTAAAACATGGGTCTGAAACCTGTGGATGCCTAAGACGCTCTTTCTATCTTCCAAAATGGCTCACAAAGAGCCAACAAATGTTTTAAATAGACATAATATGAAAACTAATGCAAGTTTTAGAGGTTTTCATGGAATAATTACACTGAATTTCCATGACAGAAGGACTAAAAGTACCAGTAATATTTGTAGACTTATTCTTCTCTGTCATTAGCTTTGAAGATGTGTGTTTTATTATTTTATTTTGCATGATATTTCAGAACCCTCTTTTGAAGAAAACATGCCCATTTTCTTTCTTCACAAAATCTTTGAGAGTGGGAAAATTCAGGTGTCACAGCAGCAAGTTGAGGTAAACAGAAACTTGCAGGTAAAAAGTAAAAAAATAAGAATAAGAAACAGTAAGAACAGATTTATAGCATATAGAAAAAAAAAATGCAGTGCAGTTCTTTAAAAAATGGCATAGTCATATTATCAGTATTATGTACATGAGGAGGGATATGTTTATACGTTTTCATTCATTTTGAAACTAAAAATAGAAATTAAAAGGTGTTTTTTATTTCTTTGAGACTTTTGCTCTCACTTCCGTTTTACCATTTTATTGATATTTTGTGTATTTTTTGTTGTCTTTTCAATATTTTTATCACAGCTGTTGTTGTTTTTAAAGTGATTTATTTAAAAAAAAGTATCTTTTTTTTTTAATGACTAATTCTATTATACATATTTATCAAAAACTTTTGAACAATAAGCTTCAGTATTGAGTTATGTGAACTGCTTAAGTGGTCAGATGGAAACTTAAAGGAAACATAATTGAAAGAAGCCTGACAAAATAAATGACTTCCTCTTGTTTGTGCTGTTCTTGCCTCTAAAGCTCATTTCAGCACTTCCAGTTGCGATCAGCTCCTCTCCTGCCCACAATAACCTCCGAAGGCCCGTCACGTGACGCCTTTTTTTTTTATGGCGTGACGTCAGCTGTTGACATTAATTCAGGGTTTAATTAATGATGATGTTTGAATTGAAGAGCCATTCGCTCTGTTCTTTTTTTTTTTTTTTTTTTTTTTTTTTTACGAGTCGGCTCTGGGTCTTTCATTGACGCGGAAGACGTCTGCGCTCATATGGGACAGAGAAAGGGAGGGGTGATGACGCAACCAGCCGCCTCCACACCCCACCTCTAACTCCCACCCCTTCTGCCAACATGATAAGTGCAAAGAGACGAGCCTTTCCAATTCATGGATAAAAAACCAAAAGAGAGGTAACTTCATAAGACTCAGGAAAGTTTTGACAGAGACGGTAGCTGCTGCTGTTGTGGAGTTTTATTTATTTTTTTTTTTTATTTTGTCCCGTCCATGAGCTACTAAAAAAAAAAAAGAAAGAAAAAGAAAGGACGCCCGGTACGCTGCACAATCCCAACAAGGACGCTGAAGAAACACTTCCCAGAGAAAGAGAGAAAGAGAGTGAGAGAGGCTGAGATAGAGATCCTATCTCACTCTCCTAGCTGAGGTCCTCGGAAGAACGGGTCTATCGTCTCGAAACTGGTAAGAGGCGCTTTTACGCAGCGTAAAAGTGATTTTTTTTTTTTTTTATTAAACCATCTTCTGATTCTGTTTATTTTTTTCTTTCCATGAAATGTAATGTAATCCAATGCTATCCTTAGGATAGTCTCATAGTTAATTATTTAATTGTATTGAATTTTTTCCCCCAGCAGGACCATGTCTAGTAAAGCAACTTTAGCACTGCTCATCTATGGAATCATAATGCATCACAGCATCAACTGCTCGCCTGTAGGAATAAGCTTTCCAAGTATCAGGTATGTGGTCATTTTAGCACTTATTTATTGGTAGAACTGGTTGAAAATCCCTCTGCTGTACAAGCGCAGCAGCAAGTACGAGATCTACAAGTTATGTCTCTGAGTATTACAGCTTATTACAGGATAACATCAACTGACAGACAATCTATAGGGATGAGACACATTTACCAGGGAGAGGAGGTAATGTAGTTTAGGCTGCTGTGGCACAGCCTTAGGCTGACCTGGCAATTAATCGATCAATCTATCTGGATGTATAATTAATAGGAATTAAACTGGAGCAAGATGGATACAATAAACAGCTATAAGACACTGTTTCCTGTACAGTCACTGTTAAAATATAACTCTTTCAAATTACAGTTCGTTTAGGTTGTAAAATTATTGTCTTCTTTTTTAAACATCAAATTTTAGACTTGACAGTGGGCTTTATGATGAGGGTGGTAACTCCTTGCCCTCCCTGGATTATGATGGAGATCAGTTGGAGGTGAGAAGCCCCTCTTCTGTCACAGACGACGTCTTCACCATGTTCTACCCAGCAGAGAAAAGGTGATTTTGTTTTCAACAAGCAAAACTGGAGAATAAAACTGTCACTCATAAGTGTATGAGACATCCCTGTTGAACATGTTGTTTCTGTATTTCTGTCTATGTATCTGTTCTGTGTAAAATCAATGTATCGTCAAAATGTTTCTGTATTTCTCATGTATTTTATTTGTTCATAGTTTAATTCACTATTTGGAGATGCCTTTGACAAGTTCAGTCAGAAAAAAGCTTATTTAAAAAAAATTAAACAGAAGATAATTTAGAATTTTAAAATTCTAAATTTTAAATTAGTTAATTCAAAATTAACTAATTTTAAATATCATATACATACCATCTTCACATTAAACTACAATATTTTAGATTAATAAACATAATTAGCAAAATCTCATGATTTCTTTTCAGCAGTTTCGCCAAATTTTTATTTGAAAATTTGAGCTAATTCCACCAAATAAGATTATAGGATGGATATTGCTGCCCTGTATAGTTTTAATATGTGCCGCTACATTTAGTATGTGTGGTGATTTTTACTGTGTGGCTATCTATATCATCCCAGAATGGAAAGGCATGCAGACGGCATGTTTAATAAAGCCTACAGGAAAGCGCTGGGTCAGTTATCAGCAAGGAAATACCTTCATTCTCTGATGGCAAAACGTGTAGGGTAAGAATCTTCCTGTTTGTCTCTTTTTTTTTTCTTTAAATCTGCCGTTTCTCGTTCTCTGTGTGTCTTTGTTTCTGTGTGCTCGGTCTTTAAATGCTCATAACTCATGCTGTAATGTGTCTGTGCGTAATTGTTTTCCCTCAACGTGATACCAAATATGTGCCCCCACCCCTTTCTACTAAATCAGCTCACCATGAAATCACCAGGAACAGGAGAAAACTGTTCTTTGATTAATTTCTGAAATGTTACTTTTTAAGCTGCCGTAGAAAAAGCAGTAGGGGAGAATTAAGTTGAAGAGTTTTAGATTTATTTCCCTCTGAATAATTTATGGGACTAAATCCCAGTGGATTTCTGACTGATGGAAGGTGGGTGAATGTAGTTTGTGGAAAATGCACACTGAAAACCCTAAATTTGGTTAGGATTCTTCATTCAAGGTCTTCTCCCGACAATCTCAATGAGCCATGTTATCATTCCCTGTTTAGGATCATTGAAATGTACTGTATATGTGCCCAGCACAGACCCTCTGTAACACGGCTCCCTGTTTTGTCTCCGGCAGTGGGGGAAAAGCGCTGGACGACAGCTCGGAGCCCCTCTCCAAGCGACACTCAGACGGGATCTTCACAGACAGCTACAGCCGCTACAGGAAGCAAATGGCTGTCAAGAAATACCTGGCGGCGGTCCTGGGGAAAAGGTACAGACAGAGAATTAGAAACAAAGGACGGCGGATGGCGTATTTGTAGCATCTCCCACTATGCCTCCTGAGTATAGAAAACCCCTCTGCCACCCTCCCACAAAAAAAAAACAAAACAAAAAAACAAAACCCAATGTGTTCAGTCCCAGATGAAGTCATTTTGGAGGTTTTACCAATCAGTGGATCGCTTTTTGTGTTCCTAAGACATGTATTTATGTATGAACTAAGCCATTAAATGAATATTTTGATAATATTGTTTTCATTTTGTACTTGAAGCACTTAAGGATACACTTATTTCCAATGTGGACCAATTTTTGTTCATTTAGAGAAGAAAATATGTCTCTTGTCTTACATGAATATCTGTTCTGATAGTTCTGTCTTTTAAACCTTTAGCAAAGGCATAGAAATAAGAGGGAAATAAACAGCTTAAAAGATAATCAATGCATTAAATGCTGCTTTTCTTTCTTTCCTGAAACATGACATTAAGAGTTTAGTTGTCTTTATTCACAACAGCCTTGAAGACATAGGTATTCACCATATCCTACAAGCGATAGACTTTGACGCCCTCCCGGACGGGGATGAGCTTGACGCTTTTTTGGGAGACTGGCTGAAACAGTTTTCTCCCGAATTTGCGGTGAGTTTCCGGCTCTTTCCCGAAACTGAGACTTCTCAAGTCTCTCCTTCCTTTTTGTCTTTGTTTTATTCTTTTTTTCTCACTTTGTGAGGTTGTTTGAGACTCTCGAATCAAACTCTCCTTTCACCTCATCTGTGCTTCTGGCTCACAGACAACAGGAACGCAGGTTGCTAATGATGACTGAGAAAAGGAAATTGGTCAATTTGACGTAACCTTTGAGGTTAAAGTGACAGCTTAGACTTTTTAAAGAGAGTTAATGTAAAAATACTATCTACTTTACCGGTAGTGGAAATATGCTGCACATTAGTGAGTTTGTAGGAAAGTGATTATATCCTCGGAGCAGTAGAGGGGTCTGGCCACATTAACACAGATATTTTGCAAAACAAAAACTGCTGCATTTGCATATCATGTCCATGAGCATATGAAGTTTTGCCAAAGGAAAAACAAAATGAATAAGAAATATTTTCTAAAATGAATACTTGAGATGTTTATGTGTGTGCTAGATAACTGAGTGTAGCAGACTTGATAATGTAGCTGCCCACGTTCAGCCTGGCCACCTTTGTTTCTGTACTAGATACTACAACAAAAATGAGGCGTATTTGAATGTCTCTCCACGTGTGTCACATTCTCTGGACTTTGTTGTTAATAATTGATAATTGAGAGAGAAATATTGTAGCTGTAGCTGCAGCTGTTTTAGGATTAATCTGTTGCCTAACACAGCGTTAGCCATGCTTAGGACATTTTCCTTTGGAAATGCAAAGTATTGTTGACATTATTACTGCCTGTTGGCACAGCAAAGGTTTTGCAGGGTTGCTAATTGTGGAATCCCAGAGACAGTGCAGATGTGAATGTGATCAAAATCACACGGGAAAGAGTACTTGTAGTTGTGTAGCTAAATTGAAGTTTACAGAGACCCAAGTAAAGAAAATAGCCCAAGCTAAAGGCCCTATAGTTTTTTTTTGTTGAGCTTTTTTATACTTTAATGACATGCTAGGCTAATGTAAGCGTGGCTTCTCTATATTTCACAAAAGACCACTGAGAATTGTATTAGTTGGGGTTTCAAGTGAGTTTGTGTACATGAATGAAACTCTGAGTAAGAGCAGTTCTCCCACATTATAAACCAAATACTTCATATTTGGTTTATAATTCATATTTTACTAGAAAGCCTTTAATTATAATTCTTATGTGCCTTAGTGAAAGTGAATATAAACCTTCAGTTTTACCCCGAGGCTCTCCTACATATCTACCTTGAGGTCAAATGCCATAGCAGCATCACCTTTTTATGAATTTGAATTGTGAAATATAATATTTTGATCACTGGCAAAACTAGCTGCAATGACTGGCTAAAAAAATTCAACCACCCTGCAGATCTCATGCATCATCTGTACCATAAATATGTTTGAATGCTACTCAGATATCACTAAAAAGACCTAATTTTAACAATACTTAATCTCATAACATGATGCAAAAGCTCAGTCTGCACTGAATGCTCATCACAGCAAAAGTATGTTTCCCTCAAACCTATTCCACAACCCTGATCCCAATGCACATGCACTGTTCATATTGAGACAATCAAAACTGGCACATATATTTCAAAATCTTGATGCTCTAAAAATTTGCTTGATTTCCTCTCACCGTGACCCATGTATTTAAAGTTTTTTATACCACCTACAGTAAAAACAAACAAAAAAAAAACAAAACAAAACATGTAAAACCAATCAGAAGAAATCCATTATGCACAATGAATACATAAATGAGAAATTCAAACAAATAATCAAATTAAAATTATGCAAAAATTGATCTCACTGTTAAAATAACTGTAAAGTATCTCAGCTTTGGTGAGAATAAAAAAAAAAGATTACACTAGCTTTACCAATTAAAATTAAAAGGTCTTCATTTACCAAGGTAGCTAAGTTAAGATTGTTTGCTTTTTTTACTTTTGTAAATTACGCCTTTAGTTTTCATCTAAAAATAATTTAATCAAGCATTATTGTTGTGTTGTGTCTGAGAATTGGTACACATTAATTAATCCACTATATATTAAACATAGAAGGTTATTATCAGTAAATATAGTGCTGAATCACCAGGTGTGAACACTTTTATAGTGTTTTAATGAGATAAAATCAACTAAATCCTTCCTCCTTTGACACTTTTTATTAAGTTTCTACTGCTCTTTGGATTTGTTCAATTTTCTACAAATTCATCAAGATGTGATACCTTTCTGCGTCAGACAAATAAACATATGACTATTTGTAAGTTTACAGTACCTCACTGAAATGAGTCCATGTCCCGTTAAATTCAGATGATTTCCAAAAGTAGAAAATATCAGATTTGAGAGAAGGAACAGAGAAATCTTTTTTACTTTTTTTTCAGATTTTTTCCTCCCACTTCAGCAATGTTTACAAAGAGATCCTCCACTTTTGACTCTTGTAAAGTGCCAATGCTTTTCTATCTACCAACTTCAATCCAATGTGTTTGGAAATTTTCTCTCGTCTCTTTGTCCATATAATGAGTATTAATGACATTTCAAGCATAAAAAGCAAACAACAAGCAGAAAAATCCCCAAAACAAACAGTACTTGTTACAAAGTTTTCTCCATCAGTTTGTTCTGTGTATGGGACATACAAAGTGATTTGAACTCTGGATCTATTGTGCTTCCCTATTTTCTGTCATGTGAACCGCTGTACAAACTCCAAGCAGACTGCATGATTAAAATAATTGCACCAGCTCATTGCATCTGTGCAGACAACTAGATGGTTTTGCTTGCTTTCTGACTTCTGCGTACATACATATCTACCATTGCTGGATGTTTTGTGCTCTGTTCTTCTCACTTACACTTCTAAACAAGTAGTTTGTTGGACCTTGTTTTGAATGTACTTTATTGTTGCTCAATTTGATGGAATCTATGAAAGCCTATTATTACTTTTTAAAGATAGTTCCAAATAAGCATCTTATGATTTCCGCCTGCAAAGAGAGGCACAAAAGCTGCCATAAGTGATGACATATTAAGGACAGAAAGCACATAAACTGAGAGGAAGCAGGCAATGTATCTTCTGAGTTTCAGGCTAAGTTAACCAAACCATTATTCACTTCCAGGTGAGTTAATCTGAAATATCCCCAAAAGTACATTTATTTCAGAAATTCAATACAAAATGTCAGTTTCAGGTATTAGATATTGTAGATTCATTACACATGGAGTGACAGATTTCTTTTCGGTTTGATGAAAATCTAATAAAAAAAAAAAAAAAGTATTTAGAGTGAACTAATTTTTAAAAAAGATAGTTGTCCAGCAGATAATCATTGCTATGGTGTTCAAATAGGGCAAGCCACAAAACCATATTTCCAAAGTAGCTTGCTATTTAAAAAGTTCTGCAGGCAAGTCTATCAAAAGAAAGTTGAGTGGAAGAAAAAAGTACATAAGAAAGAAGTGCACAACCAACAGAGATTATGCAGCACAGAAAGGCTTTGTATAATTGTGGATTTCATCTCGTCTGTTTTATAGGTTCTGGTGTCCTTATTCCTCCTATTGACAGTGCTAGATTCAGAATTAAATTGCTGCAGTTTTAACATGTCACAATCATCCAATGGTTGATTGTGCCATCCCACTACTACTTGTGCAATTTTTCTACCTCAATTTTCTCTTCCACTCAGTTTTCCTTAAATGTGAGAACAAGCAGCTTCTCCAGTGGATTAGCCTCCTTTTAGGTGTCAATGATTGCTTGCTGAACAACTGCCAAGTCACTGCTTTTCACTTTGATTGTGTTTTCTACAACCTTGCATTTATCTGTTAAAAGTTTAATGTAATGTTGAATTTTTTTGTTTTTAAATATTGAATTTTGGGATTTTATACCATGCATGCTTAAAATTAAAATATACAAAAACTTTTCAAGATATATCACTCAATGTGTAATGAACCTGGATAGAATATGACAAATTTTTAAAATTTAATTTCTGAAAGAAATCATCTCATTGACGATGTTATTATTCATTAATTTCCTGTATGAGGAATAAAAAGAGAACAGGATTAAAGTTGTTCCATCCCTCTGTTACTGTATCAATTTTTCTTTACAGGCTTTGTGACGCAGGGGAGCAGTTTGCAGCTGTGGTGCCTTGCATCGACTGTAACAAAAAAAAAAAAAAGAAAAAAAAACAATAAAAAAATGCCATGAATCATGGATGGCTATTTAGTGGCCCTACAATGCTGCACATCTTTGGCGCACACTTCATCACTAATTTTTTGTCATTTTCGTCTCTGTGTTTGATAGGATCTTTAGCTGCTTAGGCATAAAAAATTCCTCCTTGCACTGCTTTTTTGTTTGGCACTTTGTTTTAGTGCTCTATGTTTGTGTGAAAACAGCGGGGGACAGGGAAGGTGGCAGTATAATAATGAAAGCGCCAATAGCCTTACGAAAATGAATTATTCTTCTGAGATACATACATATATATATATATATATATTTACTGTGTGGAAAGTGAATATTAGATTACTATAAAGTTTGAGTCAATAAATGTCTGAAAAAAAAAGGTGTTGTACGATTTGTATGAATAAATTTTTGTAAACAACAAATATTTTGTCCAATCTTTGAAGCTAGTAATATTTTGAGATGTGAATTTATCTAAAGATATGTCGTTTTTCAGGTGAAATATGCCCTCTATTCTTTATGGGGTCTTATAGAATGAAAGAAAAAAAAAAAGATCAAAGATGAGCTGTGAATCAAGAGCAAACAAACATTCAAGTTAAACTCGTTCTTATACATTAGGATGGTATAGATGTTCTGTACCTCAGATATAATCAAGAAGCCGAATTAATAAATTTCAAAAGGGGAAAGAGAGGAGTTAGAGTCTGTCCTCCCCATTTTTCTCAGTGACTCAGTGGTTTTTGGCGGAGGAGCGTTGACACCAGTTGGCCGGGTGTCTGCCTCCATTTGGGACAGCATGAGTAAAAGGGAGACGTGGGAGGGATCACCCACCCCGCGCCACACGCTGTCTCGGTGCACTTTACACCTCCCCTCCTGCAGCAGACACCGTCGAGGGCCTGTGGGGCCTGGAGGAACAGTTGGCCGTGCTTGGCTCCATGGAAGAGAGCAACAATATGAAGCAGAGGAGGCTGCATACGCAGGCATCAGGGGATACATGTGTAAAAACACATTTTCACAATTTATGAACGGTAAGAACTTGCAGGACTTGCTTTTTTTTTTGTCACATCCAACAAGCTGGATAAGCAAACAAATTTTAACTTTGGAAAGATTGCCTATCTTTGCCGACTTTATTAAATCGTGACTTACTTGTGATTGACCATCCGTTTTCAGTCAAGTGTTATCGGGTCACAAACCCAGATTGTTGCCTGATCTGTAAAATTAAGAAATTACTTCAATAGAACCAGTCTGACACACAAGAAGTAGGCAAAAAGATCTGAATAAGCAACATTTTTTTACATGTCAGAATGTAAACAAATTCAGAACAGATTAGAAACTAAGTTGATTACAATTTCATTCTAGATGGGGTTACAAAGTCATTTCCAAGGCTTTGGGACTAATTAATGTGTGTCATTTTCCTTGTGCTAATAAAGTATTTTTGAATTTTGAATTGATTTTAAATGAGAGCCATTAAACAGAAATGAGAAAAAAAAAAACATGAAATGTTTTTTAATCTATCACAATTGGACTGCCTTCCAAAATTTCTGCAAGAAACCATGGACAACTCATCCAGAAGTTCACTAAACTAACATTGCCTTTCAGAAAATGAACAGCATAACCGCAGTTAAACACGGTGGTGATGGAGTGATGGTTGGGGATTATGTTGCTGGTTCAGGACCAGAGAGACTTGTCATAATTGATGGAACCATTGAACTCTGCTCATGGACAAAACCTGAAGAAGAAATCTCAGAGATCCATTTGTGACCTTGAGCAAACTTACATAACCTGCTCATTTGCTGAGATCATCGTAGCCCCGCCCACTGCACTTTCTGAATTCGTTCATATTGTTATATCTCTCAGATTACATGGTGAAGAGCAGCACAAAACTTTTTACATGTCATCTCACAGAACAGTCACATCGACATATGGCTGTTGAAAACACTCATCTGCATTACTATTTTGAAGAGAGACTATCTTAAGTGTGAATGTAGACTGTAGGATTAATCTTCATAAAACCAAGAAAAAAGTATATAGACACTTATTCCTTTGCATTATTTTGGAAAAAATATTTAGGGTTATAGAAATAATGACACTTATCCATGCTAGATTGCATATTTGTGGTTGAACTGTATTATATTCCACATTTTTTACTCTATAACAATTCAGAGACATTGGACCGTTCCTCATGAAAAAATACTATCAAGAAGATTAGAGAAGAATACAGAAAAAACAGAAAAACAAACTGATAGCGTGCTATAACCATTAAGTCATGTTCTATTTGAGAGATTACTTGATTCTACAGATTTGGTCAAAGTTGATTAGTGAATCATCAAATGTTAAAAATCCCCTTTTGGATAGCTTTTGTCCCTTGAAGAAGATGCTTGAAGAAATACCAGACTGCTAATTACATTGTTACCAGATTGCTAACAATCCTATAAAAAAAAGGAAAAAAAGAACTAAAGTTTATATCCTGTTGTAATGCAAACTCTGTGGGTGCAGAGGTGGCATTTAAAACTCCACCACCCACCCTGGTGCCATCCACTCTGTTCTTTCTTCACCTTTTTACATGTGTCAAGGAAAGACATAAAAAAAAAAACACCTTTTAGGTTGACATTAAAACCTTATCTGGGTGTCTCCTGCTACCGATAAGTTATATTTGCAGAAGGTTGGCGGGATGGTGGTCTGCGTGGCCAAAGAGGCCCGCCACGGCCTTGTGAGCTCCCTCTGAGCACATGATGACCCCCCACTCAGACATGAGGCCATGGCTTAGATTTTTTTTTTTTTGGTAGCTGCGTCCTCAGTTCTCAGTGGAGCTCACAGAGAGGATGATCAATGGGAGTGATCTGATTCCTCCGGCCCGTGCCAGACCCTTTCTTAACCTTGCTAACCCAATCAGCTGCCGTTGCCAAGCAACCAGTCCCGGGAGGATGCGTTGGGAGTGGGTGGTGTGTTGGTGGCCTTCGTGAGAAACAAAACATCACAAAGGATGCATTTCTCTCAGACGGATTCGGCCGAAGCTCTGGTGTCTTCTGCAGGCTGAATGCTGCAAACGGGGAGAGTCACCCAGTCTCCCTCTTCCTCTCCCTCTCTCTGTCTGTGGTGGAGAGAAGGAAGACGTTGAGTAATGCAGTGATTCATTACAGTGTACAGACAGGCATACAGAGTGTAACTAATGCTTTTGCAAGTGAATCACACGGAAACAAAATGAACCAGACATAAAGCAGATAAAAAGAAAACAACAAAATGCAGAAATTGTTACAAATATGGAAAGTCGTAAGAAGTTACATGAGGAAACACCTGCAAACATGAGCACAAGTTAAGCTGAACTAGTCAAATTAAAAAATGCATAGTAAATAAATTAATTAATTAAAAGGGCAGTGTTGGTTGTTAATTTTCCAGCAAACTTTTTTGGTTTATTTTATTTTGTCATGTCAGTTACATGGTGATTTAGTATAAAAATGTAACCGGAAGTTGGCAGCCATATGGGTACTTGGTAGCAATCTGAGCTACCGGCAATCTACACCTGCAACATCATGACATTTACAGTAATTTATCAAATTTATGTGGATGGAAATAGATGGCACTCCATTAAAATGTATAAAAATTGATTGAGACTATACACTGTCTGACTGAAGAGTTTATGTTGAAATGAAGAATTGGATCAAACAAAGCCAATCAAGCAGTTATTTCTAAAAACATAATTGTTTGGTAATTTAACTTTGTAAATCCCTCACAGAGTTTGATCAGATTTATTTGGTTGTTATAGATGTAAACTCACGATTTTACTCCTTCACTTTAAAAAAAAAAAAAGAGAAAGCAGCTGCCCATCTAGCTTCATTGTTGAAACAGCAATGACAGGAAGACTGTGGAAAGACACCCATACTGTGTGACCTACATCAACCATTTAAAAAGAAAAAAATATGCCCAGGAATTGGTCACAGATGGAGACAAAACCCTACAGAAGGAATAGTGTGTCCTGATCCTGCAAATTGTTACCAATCTTCCACATTTCTTTACCTGTGTGACAACAGCAAATCTGTTGTAACGCTGTGAAGTAAAAAGAAATACTTTGAAAAACATTTTTCATACCAGACTGGCGTCTTTCTGTTGCCCCCTCAACGTGACACTTCTTTTCAAGGCCAGAAAAACAACATATTTTTCCCTTTGCTAATGAAAATTTCCAGCGATAAAAGAGTAACCTTGATGAAGTCAATACATTCGGGCTATTTCATTTGACGCCAGTCTAGTACGACTAGAAGATACTGTATTTTTGTGTGTAAAGCAGACATTACAAAGCCTGTTGGATGAGCTGTGCATCATTACAGGCAGCTCACACTTTCTACAAGCCTTTGTTTGCATCCCACAAACTTGTTCTCTGAAAATGGAAAAAAAGATTGAAACTTGACCATTTGGTGAAAAAGCTTTTTTTCCCTCTCTCTTCGAGAGGAAATGTTTGTTCTTTTTTAGAAGTTCTTGCTCAAATTAAAAAAGGATAAAATGAAACATTTTATTTTAGCTAAAAATGACACATTCACCACAGAATAAACTTTTAAGCTACTCACAACTGAACAAACAAACTTTGAAATTGTTCCATTGATAAACATGACTGAAGCTGAAGGATAGCAGTTCTCAAAGACCAGAGTTGGACACTCGTTACAGAGATTGCGACAGTACCAAACAGTTTCCGCAAATATTTTTTTTTAAATAGATGTATTTCCTTACAGAAACTTCTCAAAATTCTTGCCATATACTCACGTAGCCGAGAACATTTGGCATAACTTCATAGATAGTTCACGATAATCTAAGCCAATTTATGAGGAAAAGGAAACCTGAAATCTAACAGAGGAAGGAGTTTGATCAATTGGGGCATTATATGTAGAAGAAGATATATCCTGGTAAAAAAAATAAATAAGTCCAGCAATTTTCATAAGAGTGGTGTTACGGACTAAAAAGCTTCATCATATAATGTTATGGTTAAGACTGCTGATTTTGTCTTTGTTTTAATAAAAATTAAAATAAAAATGAAAGGATTTTATATTTTCTAAATATGTTGTACCATAGAACATATTAATGTCGGAACCAGGAGGTCACAACAGAACCCAGAAAAACATCTAATCCACCACAGGCCTCGCTCTCAAAAAAATGTGAAGATCTCTCAATACTCTCAGCTGCAGACTCTTCACAATTAGCCACCTGTTTTTCATCCAGTAATCAAGTTCCCAGTACATAACCTCCTACCTTTCATTTACTACCTGCTGGATTATACTGTTTGCTTAGCCTCACGTTGTTTTACTTGTCCTGATTTCCTTCCTTGTCTTTACCAAAGTTCTAGATTTATTTTTATTGAAAAGAAGTTTACTATATCACACCTCAA